GACTTCATTTATTTACCATCAAATTCTTCCAGTTATAAAATGACATTGCTTCTAGTTATCCTTAAGCCATCCATCAACCAAACGTTGGCATATCTAACTAATATTTCAGACTGGTAGGCGCCAGAAGATACTTAATCAAATCATTTCAGAGCCAATGCGTGCCCCTTTATTGACAAACTGATCAAACTGACCATCTTTATCCCAAATGTCCATCCACACAATTGTGTAGAAACACCTGTTTGAACCTTTCACCCTCATTTGTGTCAATTCAGAGAAATTGTTATTCCCCAAGAAAAGTAAATCAATAAGAGTTCGGTTAGCTTGGTCAGTGCACTTTCCCAGTACATTCACCCTTCTTAACTTGACTTCAAATTTTCCTTAAATATTTATAAAATGTATATAATGTTTTCAACTCTAAATATCCTGGTTATAGTACAGTACTGACGTTGGGTTCCAGGTCTAACCAGAAGATCTGATAGACACTGTGGAACAGGAGAACTCCAAGTTCCAGGAATGCTGAGTCTATGGAAGAACTCACCCAGACAGTAAGATCCAACCCAGTTGTTCCACACCAGTGTGTGTGTTGTTTAGGAGACATGCTTCCTTGGGTGTGTTTGTGACAAGATGCACTCAAGTTTTCCCGAACGCGTGGTATCATCCCTATTCTTCTATTGTCTTTGGTCCATGTACAGTCCTAATTTTCAGTGTACATTTACCTCTGTATAAAGTCCTAATAAACTTGGGCGTCGCGGTAGCTTGGTGGACTCGCACATTACAAAGCATTAAAACCATACTTCACTCACTGTCACCAGAAGGTCCAGGTTCGATTCCCCACATGGGTACAATGTGTGAAGCCCATTTCTGGTGTCCCTGCTGTGATGTTGCTGGAATATTGCTAAAAGCGGCTAAAACCATACTCACTCACTCACTCACGCCGAAGGTCCAGGTTCGATTCCACACATGGGTACAATGTGTGAAGCCCATTTCTGGTGTCCCCGCTGTGATGTTGCTGGGGTATTGCTAATGCGGCATAAAAATATACTCACTCACTTCTAATAAATGTAAGTAACATTGTTGTGGAGGGTACCACTGTTAGTGGTAATAGTGATAACATTTGGCTGACACAACATTGATGATGATGATCGTGATGATGATGATGATGAGGAGGAGGAGGATGGTGATAATGATGATGGGTAGTGATGGTAATGATCTAAATGATAATAATGATCTTAATGATGATGATGATGTTTCAGATGTTGAAGGCAAGGAAGTATTACAATAAACTGATCACCATCAAGAAAGAGATGTCCAATCTCCATGACAAGTCAGGGAAGCTCAAGGTATGAGTTGTTTTGGTAAAATCCTTTGTGGATTTTAGCATGTGCTTCATTGCAAAGAACTATCAGGAGGAGCAACATTGTGCTATTGTGTTAAAGCTACTTTGTGTTATTGTTATACATAAGTAGGTGGTAAAGCTAAACTGTGTTATTGTGTTACAGAAGAAGGTGGTGAAGGTACATTGTGTTATAAAAGCAGACAGTAAAGCTACATTGTGTTATTGTGTTACACAAGCAGGCTGTGAAGCTACATTGTGTTACAGAGCTGGGAGTGAAGCAACAGTGAAGACAGTGATGCTACATTGTGTTATTGTGTTACAGAAGACAGTGATGCTACATTGTATTATGTTACAGAAGTAGGCAAGTGGATTTCCATTGTGTTATGCTAGGCATTGAATCTACATTGTGTTATTGTGTTACAGAAGTAGGCAGTGAAGCTACATTGTGTTACAGAAATTGTGTTACAGAAACAGGCAGTGAATCTACATTGTGTTATTGTGTTACAGAAGCGGGCCGTCAAGCTGCAGCAGCAGCGTCAGAAGGAGGAGCTTACAGAAGGCTCAGCAGCGGGAGAAGGAGCACGAGAAGGAGAGGATGTTGGCAGCGCGGGTTGCTGGACGCACAGACAGCTGATGCAGGCGTCCATGACACCTCTTGCCGGCTTCCAACACCTGTCAAATACTAATACTGCTTCATGAGAATCTATCACGTACCCATTCCACAAGTCAATGTCAGGACTCAGATGGTGGCAATCCTATACTGATGCATAGGAGTTACCATAGATGTAGCAATATGATTGGGTTATGGAATAGGATTGTGATAACCTTCGATCAGTCTAAGTAAACTTAGGCTCAGTATTATTCGTTACACTGCTATACTGAGTCTAACAAACCCCAGTAGAAGGTCGCATCAGCTAACCTTTTGAATTGACCAATCAGAACACAGGTTACCAAATCGCGAAAGATAACATACTCACATACTGTTTGAACTTTTACCTCAAATCGTTTGTACTTGAACAATTCAATGCAATTCTCCGCACGATGGCTTCCGGAGTAATACACATGGAGGACGCCATTACCCACAACAGTGAGTAAACAGTCGCTGTCATCTTGCGTAAATATAAGGTACTATAGTTACCATGTCATCAGAAACCCCAAAGGTATACTGCAGGTCAAATATCTGTGTTTTATGAGGATTTTCGTTTGTTGCCAACGAACCCTAAATAGTAGCCGTTGTCCGATTGGTTATAAATCCGTTTGGCCGTCTCGTGTTTGATTGGATGGTCATAGGTCGCTCAAAGGTTAGCTGACTCGACCTTCTACTAGGGTACTTAGACTCAGTATAACAGTGTGAGGAATAATATTGAGCCTATGTTTACTTAGACTGAACCTACGATATTACCATAACTGAAGCCTTGGGTTTGACTCAACAATGATTTCAAAATTCAAGGTTAAGCTCAATGCTCAAAGGAGTCCCTCCCCAAAGCACTCATACTGCTACTGCTGTTGTACGTCCATGTTGAAGTATGGAGCTATAGACTCCTAACTGCTAAGACTTCTTTTTGAAACTGGCCCTCGAAGCTACTTTAGGCATAAGATTATTGAACCCATTCGTTATCACTAATGACTATGATCACATACTAGAGCTATGATTGTTTTATGGAAGTGTGGAGCGGTGGGGTAGTCTAGCGGTTAAAGTGTTTGCTCGTCATGCGGATGGCCCAGGTTCGATTCCCCACATGTGTGAAGTCCATTTCTGGTGTCCCTGCCATGATATTGCTGAGATATTGCTGAAAGTGACGTAAAACCATACTCACTCACTCACTTATGGAAATGAGTTCTTGGTCTGTAAACAACCAACCAAAGAAATCATGAGGCTCATAATAAACCCTAAATACTTTGATTATCAATTCAATATTCAATATTGTCATCTTGATTGTTTGTACATATTATGTTTATGCTACGAGTTCAGCCAGCCATGTCCACATTATCAATAATTTTTTTGTTTGTATTTAATTGTTTAGGGTTTGATAATTCCAACCTGTCTTTCATTATATTATTCACCATGATGAATAATTTCAAAAGCAATTTACGTTTGTTAGCCAAAAATTGGCAATTATTTGTTGTATTTGTTGAAAATATGTCACGAAGTGCTTCTGTTTTTTTCAATAGGTCAAAAAGATTTTGAACAAATTCAGATCATCAGGTTTGCACCTGGACATGCTCTAAATTCACATATACATTGTAAGTAGTTGTCATGTTGCAGACAGTTGACATCTCACAGGTGGAAACTCATGACACTCAGTGCAATAACTTTGTAGATTTTGTGGGAACTCTGCTTCATGAGTGTACATGTAGTTCGATGCTCATGCTGTTGATCACAGGATTGCCTGGTCCAGACTTGATTATTTACAGACTTCTACCATATAGCTGGAATATTGCTGAGTGCGCATGCGTTAAACAACAAAACAAAGGTTGTTTGACTGGGCAGCTTATTTTTAGTGGTGGGTCTTTTTAAATATGGTTCAAAACCAAGCAAATAGGTTCAGGGTATTTATTCTGATAACATTGAGATAATACACTGCATCATCGAGGATGGAGTCTTGGTAAAATTGTATCCCAATTGTGAAGATTGATGCTCATGATGTTGATCACTGGATTGTCTGGTACAGACTTGATTATTTACAGACTGCCTCCATATAGCTGGAATATTGCTGAATGTGACATTAAAGAATAAACCAACCATGGTGAAATATGAGTTATCTTCCAAGTCCCGGCATGGCGAAACAAATGTATTGATTGAATTTGATTGGTTTTACATTTATTATATTGTTGTACATATTTTTGAGAGCAAGCTTTATGTGTGATCAGAGACCATATATTCAATTCATCATATGGTCTCTGGTGTGATCAATAGATTATTTATTGCAAATACACTGATATCTCAGTCTTCCAGTAAAAGAGATTCACAAATATGTATGTCTTTGATTTATTTGTAAAATATACCTCATGGTGACGTGGACTGGAACATAGACAGGGTTTAGGAAAACCATATCTTGGATAGTGGTTAAATAATTTGGAAGCATCACACGCGAACGCATCCGATTGCAGACACTTGAAAACTTCTCCCGAAAGCATCCGTTTGCAAACACTTGAAACACTTCTCCCGAACGCATCCGTTTGCAAACACTCTAAACACTTCTCCCGAATTACATCCTGTTCGTGACACACGTAATACATTCGTCACCACTCGCCTCTTTCCATAACCTCCAAGAAGACTCGCCCGCTATCGATGCTTCTTTTGTGCGAAAATACGACAAACCAATCAGAACGCGTAAATGACTGTGGTGCTTTGGCAAAAATAATCCCGAGTACTTAAATCGTTTATGGCATTATGTTATTGTTTTAAAAATCATGAGAAACATATATATCGCCATATTGAAAGAACAAAGAACTTAGCTATGGTGTTTTTTGCCTATTATGAAGTTTTTGATAAGAATCATGCGATTGACGGTGAGATTCAAATACACGCACGTGCGTTTGTTGCCATAACGGCTCTCATGGGTCCAATTGAGGGTATTTCTAACGATCTTGCGGGTTTGCTATGGAGATTGTACGCGGAGGCTTCCAACAATTTTAGGCAATGTAATTATAAATCGCTACGAGTTTCAAAACAATAATATTAGGCATATATCTGCATGTAACTAATCAACTTTAGTCTTTAACATTGGGCAGTTTTGAGAAATATCTTAAAGTCATTTTTGAGTTTCTGCTTTGGGATTTAATGTAGCTTTTATAAATTTTATTTACATATTTAATGAAACAAATCCCGTTTGTGATAATCAAACCCTTTTTAGAAATATAATTGGAAATATAAGGTGAACATCTGGTAATAATTACAACAGAATAAGTCTGTAACAAATAAGTTTTTCTCCTTCTTTTAGTTGTATCAAAAAGGTTTAATTCTTTAAAAACATAAACAGCAATACAATGTATGATACAATGTGTGATATTAAGTATCATTGGAATCAAACAAGAATAGAGTTATCGTTCCTGTTTAAAGTAGTTCTGATGTTCATCCGCCAATATGAAATCCTTCGAGAGGGGCACGAGTCGCTTTTTGGCTTGTCCGGAATGGCACGAGTTGGTCACAGAATGACACGTGGCCTGGCTGCCCCCAAGACCTTCATATTCTGGTCTTCTGGGGTCGGTTTTGTGCGAAAAGGCGAGACATAATGCAAGTTGTGAAAAGGATCAATATTAAATAGCATATGTAAGAATTACCAATTTTTGAATCTCATATCCTTTTAATTATGCAATCTCTCAATTTGGTTGTGTCACAGGCAGCTACATGTGATTAGGTGGTCTCTGACCATGTACCCGTGAAGTTCTGGGTTAGAACTGATCTTCAGTAACCCACGCTTGGTGTAAGAGGCGACTCAGCGTGATCGGGTGGTCAGGCTCACTGACTTGGTTGACACATGTCACCGCATCCCAATTGCGTAGATTGATGTTCATACTGTTGATACTAGGATTGTCTGGTCCCAGACTCGATGAATTTACAGACCGCCGCCATATGGCTGGAAATATTGCTGAGTGCGGCGTAAAACTATACTCACTCACTCACCTGAATTCGTGGGTCGTTGCTCACGGTATCAACCACAGGACTTTGTTGTCCAGGACGCCGTTGTACAAAACAACCTTAGCGCTACGACTGTCGTAAGTCCATGTTAAGGTATGTGAGTTACGGTCACCTTAGCGCTAAGATCGCTTTGTACAACGACACCCAGAGTGTAATAAAAGCACACTTTCGCCCTGAACTATTATAGTTAAAGTACGAGGACGCTTGCGATCTGTGGTTAACGTAAACCATATGGGGCAATATGAACGTCGCATTTCTACTACCAACGTAAGTTTAGATCAGTACATCCAGATGAAGCTGAGTAGTCAAGCGTCATTCCACGATTGCATTGTGGAATGTAAACATTGCGACGTCACCGTGTCGCTGGAAAATTATGAGTCGAATTGAGACATTTTATCAGTCGGAAAACATAAACGTAATGTTTCCACCAGTGATGTTAGCTGCGTGAAGCAACTGCAAACCAAGAAACGGGATGCAACGGGGTAGTTTACTGTAGGAGGCTGTACGCGATGACAGCTGACACGAATCGTGACGTTGGTTACATTGTGACGTAATGCGAAAGTGTTCGATTAAGAGGGTCAGACTAGAATGGCGCAGTGACGCCAATACATTGTGACGTAATTCAAAAAGTGCACATTATCGTCTGATAAGTACAGTCGGCGCCTTTGATCTTTCACATCTTAGAATACAAGTTATAAGCAGGTTCAGAGAATAAGACTTTATTTCAAAGGGGGCGGTGGTGTAGCCTAGTGGTTAAAGCCTTCGGTCGTCACGGGACAGTTCTCCACATGGGTATAATGTACGTGCAAGCCCATTCCTTCCTGTCCCAGCTGTGATATGAATAGAATATTGCCGAAAGTGGCGTAAATAGAGAATACTACACAAGATCTCATTACCAATGTGCGAAATAGGCACTGGCCCGCTAGCCCGTTGCTAGTCAAAATCCAGTCGGGCCAGTAAATCTCAACAGTCACTGGCCCTACTGGCTAGTGAATTTTCATGGGGTCATATTGTAAATGTACCACTTTCTCCGACTTGTTAAGTTATAATACACTTTTTAAATCATGCAAGATTATGGCCTGATTAATAATGTTCATCATATTAGCAGCTTTTAATGATGAAGCCCGTGTCTACATGTATATTATTCAAATTTCGGGCTAGTGAATTATTTTGTGGGCTAGTAACTTTCAGTCATAGCTAGTCCGACTGGATAGCAAACTTTTGAAACTGTTTCGCACACTGCTCATTACACTCGCCTACCCAGAGTTCCATGCACCCAGCATATTACCTCTGCCACAATGTCCATTCAATATAATGTACAGATTTCTTTTTCTCTTTTATTTTTGACGAGTCTACACATCTAACTAAACATCTTTAATAGAATGGTTTAGTTTCACTGAGAAAATATCAAAAAACATGTGACACTATTTTGATTTGCGTAGCGATCCTTTGTTTACATACGTTGTACGGCTCCGCGTGCTGTCAACGACGCTGAAGGAGAGCAAACGATGCAGCCAGTTTGATATCTAAATATGTACTGTCATAGACCTTACTGTCGCAGTTGTGGAAGAATATATATTTAACAATGTAAAACATTATGAAGAGAGCGCCGAAAAGCTTTCGTGAGTCCAGTCTCTTCTTATTATGAATATGCGCGTTTGGTTACAAACAAGAGAAAGGTCCGGTCACATGATATGCAAAATAGTCTGTGGCAGTGATGTTAGGTTAAGTCATCGCTGTGCCGGAGTGTGTGCTCATTACATACAAATCATACGAAACGATTGTCCTGCTTATGGTATCTGACCGAGCAGAAAGCGAGGGTCATTGAAAATCTTTATAGGAAGTTTTATTTGAACATGATTAAAAGAGCATGTAATGAGACCGGGATTAAAAAGTGGTATTTTATTAATATTACCCCACAACTTACATACATGCATGAAATTGACAAAATAACGTATTTTTGTTATTGTTATGATGTCAAACCGAAACCGGTTTCATAAAGAGGCTGCGGAAGAAGTTTGTTCTGTTGTACACTTTTGCAATACGTCACACTGTATTGACGTCACTACCCATGGTAACCGTCGTCACGATGCATGTCAGTTGTCATCGCCTCGTACAGCCTCCTACAGTAAAAACCGTGGCACTCCGTTGCATCCCGTATTCTCTGGTTTGCGGTTGCTTCACCTCGGTTGAAACATTACGTTTATGTTTTCCGACGGATAATGTCTCAGTTCGACTCACAATTAAACAGCGACACGGCAACATTCGCAACGTTTACATTCCCACAATGCATCTAAGGTGTAGAATGAATGAATTCACGTGTTTGTTATGAATGAAAAAGTAGTTCCGCGTCACAACGTGACCTAATCGAGGTCATCGGTTATCCAATCAAATCCTTAGAATCTCAGGTCAAGTCGTTACGACACAGGTCAACGCGATACCGCACTCGTGTGACGTACGAGATTAGTGTGCAACTAGCCATACTTTGACAACCTGGGTAATAAAACCCGACTCCATATTTTAAACTACATGCATGGATGGCCAAGGAGTAAGAGGCGCTGCAATACACTATGCAGAGTTGGGTCTACTCCCATTTGTGAGAACTCCCAGTTGTGAGACAGTGGAGTAGGTAAGTAGCAATGAAAACACACCTTACTCCCTTATCTGATAGAATGGATTAACCCCAGCTAATAAGGGATTAGCTATTTAACTGAATCTTGTGGAGGTAGCTTAAAAGATAAAGTAATTAACCTACTCAGGTAAATGGCTTTAAAAAATAAACACTTTGTGTAGGTAACTTCGTGATCAATATGAAAAGTGTCAAAATCTCCAAATATGGACCCATGTAAAAAGTGTTTTATAATGACACAGAAACATCATAATAACGCATATCATCAAAATGTGTGAATAAAAAATCATAATGAAATATTTAATGAACTATTTCTTCTGTGTAAATATAATGATAATCTTTTCAGTATTTCAGTATTTAACTTGTTCTTTATTGAAAACAATAAATGCTCTTCAACGAACAATGTCTTCTGTGTTAATTAACTCATTAATGAACTATGCCTCCTGCAGGTACTCTTCAGCAACAGGGCTGTTCCCACGTGTAGGGATGGGGAAGCACCACCTGTGTGCACTGAACCATTAATTAATGTGTCTCACAACTGGGAGTTCTCACAAATGGGAGGACACCCAGAGTTGCCTTCCTTGGGCGCACCAGGAATCTATTACTTCGAATCGCTGTTCCCTTTATTATGTTTTAAGGGTTGTTAGCGTGACTTGCTAAAACAAAATAGAAAAACAAAATATGTTGTCTGAAAAATGCTCAGATTCTTCGGACGTCACTTCACAGAATATGATTGTGATTAGAAAAAATCTCCCCAGGAAAATAAATCAACGATTCCCCGTAATATTGAACAGAACTACCAACGCCAAGAGTGAAAGCTTGAGATGCCAGGGTGTAAGTGCTGGTTGGGCGGGTCCTGAAACCCCACTGAAATCAACGCATAAATGCAAATTCTCTTCTTAGAAAAGTCACTGAAAACGAAGTCTTCAGACCTATTTTTGTGTTTTAACGGATTTTTTCGTTTTCCTTTTCACAGCATTGTCACGTGAGCGTGACATGAATAATTTATGCTTGAGTCTCACCGTGTTTGACGTGAGAGTTATCAGTTTTGTCTTAAGAGCGTGTCACGAGTCATAAAAGCGTGAGTCTCAAGCCAAATGCTCGAGAGTTGACAGGTATGATTTAAATGTTGGACACCCAAATCTTATATAATTAGTGACCATGTCTGTGTTTGAGAGTATGTTGCTGAAGTGTGAAAAATGCTGACTATGCACAAGCAAAATGCTGATTCGACATTATTTAATGCTGTATGGTCCCTGCATCATTCAAAAGCGTCATCGTCTTCTGTATCCAAGGGAGGTAACTCTTTACGTTGGTGTACAACTCGGTGGTGTTACCACATGCATATGTGTCCAGCACTATTCCAGCGGCAACCCAGACCGATCCCAGTCTACACTGCAGTGCGCCGCCAGCATCACCCTGTGTGAAGAGAAGGATGAGTGGGTTAGGACCAGACAAACGCAAAGTCTCTGAATTTGTGAATTTATATAATTGACAGAAACAAATAATTCCATTTAAACTGAAAAGGAGCCGGGGTGAATAGTGAGAATGAGGGTCCCGATCCACAAAGCGATCGTAACGTTACGACCTGTCGTAACTTTAGTTTAGCATAGGGTTACGAATATCGATCCACAAAGCGTTAGTAGCGCTACGATATTCGTAAGCCAATACTAAACTATAGTTACGACAGGTCGTAACGTTACGATCGCTTTGTGAATCGGGACCCAGAAACAGGTAAATCTGGACTGGCTTCATTTGGGACTTTGGCATTGCAGAAAGGGCTCGGCGGAAGGGAACATAATGTGGTTCTGTGAGACAGACTAGGTAAGGACTTGCTGTTGCTGTTGTATTTTAAAGATAATATATTGCGGATATCGTTTTTATAACTATCTTTGTGAATCTGCCGTGCCGTTTCTAAAGAAAAACTAAATAGAGAGTACATAAAAAAATCCAATTTATCGACCATCGAATTCTTTGAATACAACATGTTGAAAATGTATCTTGAAAACTTCAAAACGCAAAGATTTATGACGGTGGAAGAAGAGGAGTCTAGCACTGAAGTATCGCATTCTGTACAGGTTTCAAACATTTATAGAACGGTTATGATGCTGACAATAAAGTCAGGTCCTCACACCAGTCAGATACCTCACCGCGCCCATATCTGAAGACAGGGAGAGTGAATATGGTTTTACGCCGCGTTTGGCAACATTCCACCATTACCTCTGCGGGGAACACCGGAAATTGGCTGTACACTTTGGGCCTATGCGGGGAATCGAACCCGCATAGGTTGGGCGTGACGAGCGAACGCTTTAACCACGAGACTACCCCACCGCCCACTGGACAACACGAATGGATCCAGGGGTAAGTGCAGGTGTACCGAAATGCAAGCCCTGGACTGAGTGAGTGGGTGAGTATGGTTTTACGCCGCTTTTAGCAATATTCCAGCAATATCACGGCGGGGGACACCAGAAATGGGCTTCACACTTTGTACCCATGTAGGGAATCGAACCCGGGTCTTCGGGATGACGAGCGAACGCTTTAATCACAAGGTTACCCTACCGCCCCTGCTACTGAGGAAGTAAGATACCTATCAGAGTGGAATATCCCATTTTCAAACCTTCCTTTTATTGTCATAACCTGGAGATCGGTAATTTTGGCATGGTACTATTAAATGATTTTCATCCGTATACGGGTGACACGTGTGTCTTGCGTTGATATTACTGAGTGAGTGAGTTTAGTTTTCGCCGCTTTCAGCAATATTCCAACACGATCAGGGCGGGGCACACCAGAAATGGGCTTCACACATTGTACCCATGTGGGGACTCGAACCCGGGTCTTCGGGGTGACGAGCGATCGCTTCAACCACTGGGCTACCCCACCGCCCCTGATAATGCTGAGACATTGTGAAAAGCGGCGCATTCACCCACGCGCTAATCGGAACTCACAGTAAAAAACGCCTATGCACTTAGTTCTGATTAGAGTGAACATAGATGTACACCGATGGGTGATTTGAGATCACGAGAACCAAGGCAATGGACCAATTTGTCAGTGTAGGTTTACCGAGATGAGAGCCACTGCAAGGACCCTAGAACATTCAGTCTATCAATCATAGTTGACAATCAAACAATCCAGGTAATCTGCACATACGACACTCACTGAGCAGGGGCCTCCTCCCTGGACGTCACTGACCGCGCACAGGTAATCGGCACTTCGGGTGTTGCTAGGCAACAGGCACAGCGAGGCGTTGACAACGTTCATCGGCAGCTTCTGAAGTTTGTATGCCAAGTCATCGCCTGGAAAGGAAAACGTTAACTAAATCCAGTCTAGTGCTAATTGTGTTAAACTTTCTGATATTGAAGTGCAGAAGTACTTTACGTCGAGGGTCCGTCTGCAAGAATATATGTTTGTCTCAAGAGTCAACTCAAATGAATTTTTTAGAACCAATTCCAGCTCCTCGCATCGCCGGGATCGGGTGGTCAGACTCGCTGGCTTGGTTGACACATGTCATCGGTTCCCAATTGCGAAGATCGATGCTCATGCTGTTGATCACTGGATTGTCTGGTCCAGACTCGATTATTTACAGACCGCTGTCATATAGCTGGAATATTGCTGAGTGCGGCGTAAAACTAAACTCATTCACTCACTCCTCGCTTCGCAATGACTGCGAAGTGGAACTTAGACTTAAAGTCTGTTGTAGCTGTATGACCACTTTGTTGAAAGGGAACGAACAGGTGTCCTAGCGGTACGTTCATCGTAACACTTCAGTTAAATGTTGACTTACGACTGTCTTCGCGCTAAGATCGTTTTGTTGAACGGGCCCCAATTTTAGTTCATCAGGAATTTACACCCGTTGTAACTATGAGATCTCTCACCTTCACTGAATCATAGATGGTTCTTTGCGCTACCCCCATTGAAGGAAAACCCCATGACTGCCTTAAAGCTGCTTCGTTCAACGGGTCCTTACGAGCGCTCGTGGCGATACGATCTAACAAGTCTATATTTCAACGAAGACTTATGACTGTATTGGCGTTAATATTTGCGCTGTAAGTGATGAGACTAGTGTAGTGGGTAGAAAATGAATTTGTTGTGACGAATTTTAGGTCACGTGCTATCTCAGGTCTTCCAGCTTTTTCTATCGGTCGATCAATTCCTTTATTCTCCCACTGAACGCGTCGTATTTTTCATTTAAGCCAATTTTCAGTACCTTTGTGGGTGGCACCCCAGCCAGTGATCACACAACTTGATCCCAGCAAGTCCGTGTTCGAGCCTGGTAGGCACACGAAAGGGTAGTCGATGTCGTGGTTGACCAGCTGTACCAGAGCCACGTCGTTACTGTAGGGATCTGCGAAAAAAAGTGTGATTTTATTTGTAGGATATACCTCCTGCACTACGTCGACACACTGCAACCTCATTGACGGGATCGCCGCGAATAGCTGGAAAATTGCTGGTAAGGCGTAAAGCAATATTCATTTTGTAATTTATTCATTCATTGATGGCCGCCTCAGAACGTAAAGTCAAATTTTAGGGTCCTCTCATGGGCGCCACACAAAACCAAAGGAATTCGATTTCCATTAATTATATAAATATAAATGGTTCTTGTGTTACAAGGTGCCTTTGCTATAATTATTATTTCGGTCAGTCGAGTAACTTATGGCTCCATACAGAAAATATTTTACCCATAGTGAATCCTCCATGTATGACGATATTCCTGACATGCACCCTCATCTCCGTCCCTTCCAGGCGTCCCCTGTCATAGTCTCCCAGTACCACTATCCAGCTGGTCGGATCATAGTGCCTACAGCAGAGAATCATGTCAGTTGTAGCAAATATCCAGCTGGTGGGATCATAGTGCCTGCAGCAGAGAACTATGTCAGTCGTAGCAACTATCCACCGTCCAGGCGTCCCCTGTCATAGTCTCCCAGTACCACTATCCAGCTGGTGGGATCATAGTGCCTACAGCAGAGAATCATGTCAGTTGTAGCAAATATCCAGCTGGTGGGATCATAGTGCCTTCAGCAGAGAACTATGTCAGTCGTAGCAACTATCCACCGTCCAGGCGTCCCCTGTCATAGTCCCCCAGTACAACTATCCAGCTGGTGGGATCATAGTGCCTGCAGCAGAGAATCATGTCAGTTGTAGCAACTATCCAGCTGGTGGGATCATAGTGCCTACAGTAGAGGAACTATGCCAGTCGTAGCAACTATCCACCGTCCAGGCGTCCCCTGTCATAGTCCCCCACTACAACTATCCAGCTGGTGGGATCATAGTGCCTGCAGCAGAGAACTATGTTAGTTGTAGCAACTATCCAGCTGGTGGGATCATAGTGCCTACAGCAGAGAACTATGTTAGTTGTAGCAACTATCCAGCTGGTGGGATCATAGTGCCTACAGCAGAGAACTATGTTAGTTGTAGCAACTATCCAGCTGGTGGGATCATAGTGCCTACAGCAGAGAACTATGTTAGTTGTAGCAACTATCCAGCCTCGTGGAGGAGCTGGTGTTAGGGATCATCAAGCTGGTGCCTACAGCAGAGAACTATGTTAGTTGTAGCAACTATCCAGCTGGTGAGATCATAGTGCCTGCAGCAGAAAAAACACTTCGCCGTAGCATCAGTAAAACGTCGGAATGGAACACTTTCTTAAGCATAAAATTCTTATCAATACAGTCAAATCGCGGCGTCAGTTCAGCAAACTCTTACTACTACTACTACTACTACTACTACTACTACTACTACTACTACTACTACTACTACTACTACAGCTGCTGCTATTACTACTACTGCTGCTGCTACTACTACCTCTACTACTACTACTGCTACTGTTATTACTACTACTACTGCTACTGTTATTACTACTACTACTACTACTATTGCTACTACTACTACTGTTGTTATTAGTACTACTGCTACAACAACAGCAACAACAACTACTACTAATCTCAAGTAAGAGGCGACTAACGGGATCGGATGGTCAGGCTCGCTGATTTGGTTGACACATATCATCGGTTCCCAATTGCGCAGATTGATGCTCATGCTGTTGATCTGTCTGGTCCAGACTCGATTATTTACAGATCGGCGCCATATGGCTGGACTATTGCTGAGTGCGGCGTAAAACTAAACTCACTCACTCACTACTGTCAAATGTCCTTCTCAGCTCCCAGAGAATATACAATCTAAACGCACGGTGTATGAATCTGTCTATCTACACTATATTTGACATGATTTTACTCTTGCCTTGGTTGTCTTTTCTCAGGTTTGTGTACCGTAGGTTGTCTGTGTTTTATCAGTTTTTCTTACCCGTCAAAACACCTTCCGGCAGTTAGCACCCAGTCTTTTGCAATTAACACTCCGCTGCAGAAAGTAGGCCCGAACGATCTTAGACCAACCTGTAATGTCAAGAGTCACTGGTAAATCTAGTTTACGGACAGGTTGACTAACGCTTGGTGTCTGAATATATACTCAACACAAAAGTTACGGATCACCCCGATATTCAATATTTAAGCATTATATGGATCTTAATATGAGCTATTAAACACTATAATATTGAAAATTGGGGTGGTCCTTAACTTTTTTTGGTTGAGTATATTCACAAATGAGCATCAGAAAACTGTGAAATTTACACCCCATTTTGCTTGCAGGCGCCTTCGCAGCATGGGTACATTCAACCGCGTTGAAATGTCGTGTGAATCGAGTCCGTTTGATTTCATTTGAGACCGATGAATTGCTCAATAACACAAAATCTAATAAATGTAACCAAACCAAATTTTGCACAGTCACATGAAATCGACAGACCAACTCTGATGATTTGTCTCATAATGTTGGACTTTCGAATAAAAAAAGTTGCTTAACAAACGATCAATATTTTGTCGCTTACCGCTATTTTGTACGATGGGGGACCACTTGCTGGTAGAACAGCCAGGTGTGCGAGTTGCACGTATGATATTCGTGAAAGATAGCGAAAAGTGACAACAAAATAATGATCGTTTGTCAAACGCATTTTTTTATTCGGGTCATCCAATGAAGACAAAATCATCGTCTGTCGATTCATGTGACTGAAAGCACTAGTCGCCTTTATGACAAAAATGGGTTGCTGAAGACCTATTCTACCCCGGATCTTCACGGGTCCGGTCTCAAATGAAATCAAACGGACTGTAGTCGAGAGGTTAAATCTATACTTGTTTCATTTAGGGCTTTTGTATTACACTAAGAGCTGGGTGGAACGGTAAATAATGAGGTTCAGGAATTGTGAGAGAGACTAAGAGACACGCAATATATCTCTCTGCACTCCCCCCTCGTAAGAAATAGTGAACTGTGTCAATACTTTAATGATAGTTTGTAAACAACTTTTTTATTTTTAGGACATAAATTCTGCAAAAACCTCACAGAGTTGGTCTGACGTTTTGATTATGATCAGTGTTTCATTGAGTATTTTATGTTTATTAGTTTTCGAGTTAGATTGCAATTCACCGGTCCGCTTATAAGTGAGGTGAGGTGAAATTGGGTTTAACGTCGCGGGAGAATATTTCGCTCTTATGACGACGTGCATGCGTGTGTATGTGTAGGTGCGGCTGCTTGTACTAGCTCAGACTTAAGCTGGTTTTATAGTGCTTGCTATAGCCCACTGAGATACCATGCCACAGTGAAGCATGAATACCCCACTCAGACACATTATACTGACTCCGAGCCGACCAGTCCTTGTTGTACCCAGTAATGCCGAGCGCCAGGCAGGGACCAACAAGTATCATATTTTAACGTCTTTTGGTATGATGCTGTCGGGGATCGAACCCGCGACCTTCCGCTCTCCGGGCGGACGCTCTAACCACTACACCACGGAGGCAGCCCCGCTTATGAGTGAGTGAGTTTGGATTCACGCCGCTTTTAGCAATATTCCAGCAAAATCACGGCGGGGGACAACAGAAATGGGCTTCACACATTTTGCCTATGTGGGGAATCGAACCCGGGTCTTCGGCGTGACGAGCGAACGGTCCGCTTATGAGCCAAACTGACTATAGTAAGGATATTTCGCTAGCTCTTACCGAGAATTAAGAAGCTCATCGCTGATTTGCTTGCCCCTTGAAAGATTTCTCAAAGCTTTGAGGCATCGGATTCTTGTAAGACACTGAAACCCCGCCAATCCGGATACTCTTTTAACTGTATGTTCCAGATTAACGGGGTACATGTTAAATGGTTCATTTGTTTGTTTACAGTTTGACCCTCAGCTTATTGTATACGCATCCGGCTATGATCAAATAAACTAATGACGTCATACCTGCCATGGGAATTCCTCTTGTTTGGCTTCAGTGCCACCAACAATACGTCTTCCGAACAGCGGAGTTTCATCCTGGATTCTTCCACACGGTACTATAAAATGAGTGAGTGATTATACACCAGTGTTTCAGTTATGGCAGGGCGTGTCAGCTTACAGTGAATGAGTGAGTGACGTTTGACGTCGCTTTTAGCAATACCAATGAATGCAGCCTTCAAATATTTCATTTATAGAGGGCGGTGGGGGAAGCCTAGTGGTTAAAGCGTCCGATTGTCACGCTCAACATCCGGGTTCGAGTCCCACATGGGTACAATGTGTGAAGGCCATTTCTGGTGTCTCCCGCCGTGATATTGCTGGAATATTGCTAAAAGCGGCGTAAAAACATCCTCATTTAATATGTCACGATATAAAACGAATAAATGGGTCAAAGCGATCCTTTCCATTTCAAGGGTGGAAAAGCCAGTGTTTCAAAAAACTCGGCATAATTTCAAGATTACTTTAATATATAGATTCAATTAAGTTGTCATTTTCTCATCTTTCCCTTCTTTTCACTGTCTGTTTTTATCCTCTAAGTTAAAGATTTCTGGAGAAAAACCTTACCGAGTTGTCCTGAGGAAGTCGCTGCCAGTGCCAGACACAGGCTTATTCTCCATGTACACAGAACATCTGTCATGTTTACAGGAGAGAGATAAGGGGCTAGTAGACGCCCTTGTGACGGCACGTGACCAGGTGTACAACACACAGGTTAGTGTAGTTAGAATGGTTTTGCGAAATATCGGAGCAATATTACAGCGGGGACGCCAGAAATTCGTTTTGTGAGTGAGTGCATGTTGTCTTGTCCCGCACTCAACTTTTTAAGTTGTATTACATCAGGCTGTAAATGTTCGCGTCTGGACCAGGCAAACCACCCAAGTGGTATACATCAGAGACCTCACTTAGACACGCTGTGATGTAACCTACTGGAAAACTGTACAAAACGGAATCAAACCCCATTCACACATTTTACCAGAGTGAGTGAGTGAGTGAGTGAGTTTAGTTTACGACTCCTTTAGCAATATCACAGCGCGGGACACCAGAAATGGGCTTCACACAACATTGTACCCATGTGGGGGTTCGAACCCAGGTTACTCAGCTAACCCACCACCCCAGTTTACTAGAATCACTGTTACTTCTTCTGTTTGTTATCTCTCCTCTCTCTCTCTCTCTCTCTCTCCCACTCTCTCTCCCTCTCTACTTCTCCCTCTCTCTCTCTCTCTCTCCCTCCCTCTCTCTCTCTCTCTCTCCTCTCTCTCCCTCCCCTCTCCCTCCCCCCCTCTCTCCCTCCCTCCTCCCCTCCCCCTCCTCCTGCCTCCCTCTCCCCTCCCTCCCTCCTCTCCCTCCTCGCCTCCCTCTCCCTCTCCCTCCCTCCTCCCTCCTCTTCTCCCCTCCTCCCCTCTCCTCCCTCTCTCCCTCCCCCTCCCTCCTCTCCCTCCTTTCTCTCTCTTCTGTCATGTTAGTGTTCAGAAAAATTAGGCATCGATTTTCACTTAGAATGCATGACAATGCATGTTCATAAGCAAGTACAAAAGACGAAAAATATTAAAATCAATGTTTTAGCACCCTCACCTGTGGTCTATTTTTCAAACTTGTTAAACAGCTTTAAAAACGTTTATGAGCCCTCAGGTAGGTGTTATTATCAAAGGTCGCATGTATGTCTAACAACGCCTGGCAGCTGCAGCTGTTCCCATCACACACAGGTGTGGTATCTCAGGTGATACAGCGACAGATTCTTCCTTATTTCCATGGCAACGGATCAAAACACATCGGGCGTGGTAGTCGCGCTATCTTCATTTGGATGATTCTGACCTCGGTAACAATCCGCACACCTCAACCAAATCAGTACGTTGTAATCATTAGCATATAGTGACAAACATAACATTGTTCAGTTATATATTGATATACGAACAGCTCGCTCATCGACTGACTATCACAGAACATGGTGATGTCTCATTAGCCAGATTACCAGTTCATCTAATCGAACACAGCTTCATCATTGATGATATTGATGCGTCGATTTGTAAACCGACGCCAATACATGTGTATACTTACAAAGGATATGTAACGGTATCTGTCAATACCTGCCTGTCAATATGATTTGACAATACGGTGTACATTATACAAGACACAATGGAGGTATTCATACAACGGTCACGATCGAGGCGCTCAAACCACACACAAACAGCGCCGGAACGCTGTCAGTGAAATGTCATGACGACCAATCGAAGGAAAATCGGAATAGTAATTTGTTATCATCATATGACTGATCACGCCGACATTTTAGGTGAGTATGTCGTTTAGTTTAACGTCATTGCGATTCTATTTCAGTCAGCCCCGTGTATGACAGAAAATAAATTCTGCATGAATACAGCTTTTTGAGTGTGTGTGAGTGAGTGAGTGTGAGTGAGAGAGAGAGAGAGAGAGAGAGAGAGAGAGAGAGAGAGAGAGAGAGAGAGAGAGAGAGAGAGAGAGAGAGAGAGAGAGAGAGAGAGAGAGGGTGGGGGCACGCCCTTTTGTCCTGACAGTTTATTAAATGACCATTGAAACGTGAAAATGAAATGTGCTCTCCCCCTTTCTCAAGAAGCTGTATCTGCCACTGCTATGATATTTTGGTTGGCTATGCACACTCTTGAGAAAAGAGGGGGATGCACACTTCATTTTCACCCGTTTCCAATGGTCGTTTAATAATCTTTCATGACAAAAGGGGGGTGCGCACCCCTGAATACATCCCCACACCCAGCCACCCTGATCCGCCTATGGAATACAGCGGCAGGGTATGCTTGTGAAGATCCGTGTTCTGTTGTCATGACGTGTACTGGTTTATCGGCTTTGTTATATTCAAAAGGGACGTGGGATAGCCTAGTGGTTAAAGCGTTCGCTCGTCACGCCGGATGGGTATATTGTGTGAAGCCCATTTCTGGTGACCCCCGCCGTGATAATGCGGGAATATTGTTAAAAGCGGCGTAAAACTCAACTAAACTCACTCACCCACTCACTCTCATATATACTCATGGAAACAAATAAGGGAACACATGAAAGTACAAGTGTTCCTTTATTGTTTTCCAGGTTTCTTCACAAGGTATGTATTGCACTGTGAGTGAAATTCTGGAAATAAATAACGGAACACCTGTACTTTCATGTGTTCCCTTATTCGTTTCCATGAGTATATTAAAAAAAATATACTAGTATATTGTATATCTATGGGTAGAGATTTTTAAAAATTTGGCATGGATCTTAATGGGCGGTTACGTAGCCCAGTGTTTAAAGCCTTCGCTCGTCACGCCGATGACCCGAGTTCGATTCCGCATAGTCTGAAGCCCATTTCTGGTGTTACCCGCCGTGATATTGCTAGAATATTGCTAAAAGCGGCACATTATGCTATTTGTAGACTGGATTTTAACGTGTGTAATATTGATAATTTCAAAACTTGCACAGAATACATTTACCTAACCTGACGTTGACAGCTGCAGGTAGCGACTTTCAAATACTCCCCGGACATTAAGGGAGTGAGTATAGTTGTACGCCACTTTTAGCTATATTCCAGCGATATCACGGCGGGGAAAACCGGACATGGGCTTCACATATTGTACCCATGTTTGGAATCGCACCCGGGTCTTCGTCATGACGAGCGAACACTTTAACCACTAGGCTAACCAACCGACCCTCATTTGACCCGAGCACATGAAGCATAGTTCAGGGAAGTTTTAACCCTTTCAATTAATATTTTGAATGAAATTTAACTTATATCATGCACAAAATGGCTTACGGACTACATTTTCTTATATGGTATTCACACTCGAATATAGGGCCTATCTGCTTCACCATATTTAGCGCTATAGCAATTAATAAATAACCAGATACATTTTCGCGTAAAAAGACAAAGACAATATTAATTCATAGTAGACTTTTTTTTGTCCGTTTATGTTTATTATTGTATCTAGGATTTGTGTCAGTGTATAACCTTCGTTTGATTCATTAATTCTGAGATATTTAATAAAATAAAAACTGTACGAATTGATGGTGGTTGGGTTAAAACTAGGGCTGCGCAATATAACCGGTTTACCGGTATATACCAGTTCAGACATGAAAACGATACGTATTGCGATACGCTGATAGAAAACCGGTATTTTGACATGCATTCGGAAAACTTCGTAACACTCGGAAATCTTCGGATATTTCCGTTTTTTAAAATTGTTGGTTTCCTTGTTTCATTTGTGCCAAATATTACTCACATTTTTATTTTGTCATGATTGAGAGTTTTTATTAAAGCTTAATCAAGCATAGTGATTTTGTTGTGTTTTTGCTTTATAAATCAAGCATTAACTCGATTATAAGTACTTTTTTGTTTAAAAAAACTTCTTGCAATATATTGCAATACATATCGCAATATATGCTTTTGCATCGCAGTATATCGCAATATGAAAATTCTCTGCAATACCCACCCCTAGTTAAAACTGTCTGGTTTGTTGATTTTCGATATTTATTGTCAGTCGTGGTATTTATGCTTGACATCATCTCATTTACATCTTCTATTCCCGTGAAGATCCGTGTAAGAATTGATCTTCAGCCACCCATGCTTGTCGTAAGAGGCGACTAACGGGATCTGATGGCGAGGCTCGTTGACTTGGTTGACACATGTCATCGTATCCCAAGTGTTATGATGTAAATCACTGGATTGACTCGATTAGTTTTAGACGGGCGCCATATAGATGGAATATTGCTGAGTGCGAGGTAACACAACAAAGAAAAGAAATCGCCAGCACACAAAGTCAGACGCCTAGACCGCTCAGCCACCGCGGCTTCCACAAAAATGGAAGTCGGACAACTGGTAGGTGCCTGACTCTGAGAATGTGGGTTCGAATCCCGGATGGGACTCAACCCCAAAAGTACTAGAATCTGTACTTTGCTAAGAAAATGTAATCCCAAATATAACATATGTCCTTAGTTTTAATACAGCAGAGGGGAATGTACTTAATGTTTTAGATAATTTATGTTGTTGCAGGTGATTAAACGGTTTCGATTGTTGGAGGGTGGGTGAGACCGATGAATTACCCACTAACACAAAATCTAATAAATGCAAAAAATAAATAAATTGCACAGTCACATGGAATCGACAGACCAACTCTGATGATTTGTCTAATAATTTTGGACAGCCGAATAAAAGAGTTCTTTAACTAACGATCATTATTTTGTTGTCACTTTTCGCTATTTCTTACGAGGGAGGTTGTCCAAAATTATGTGACAAATCATCAGAGTTGGTCTGTCGATTTCATGAGACAGTGGAAAATTTGGTTTAGTTGCAATTATTAAATTTTGTGTTAGTGAGCAATTCACCGATCTAAAATGAATTCAAACTGACTATAGTAGTGAATGATATATAATGAATGATATATAATGAATGATATATAATGCCTCGTCAGGGTGGGGTAGCCTAGTGGTTAAAGCGTTCGCTCTTCACTCTGAAGGCCCGGGTTCCATTCCCCACATGGGTACAATGTATGAAGCCAGTTTCTAGTGTACCCCGCCCAGATATTGCTGGAATATTGCTAAAAGCGGTGTAAACACATACTCACTCGCTTGTGTACCCCGACGTAATATTACTGGATTATTGCTAAAAGCGGCGTAAAACTAAACTCACTCACTCACTCTTCACCCCCCAAAACCG